CCTGTTAATGCCACCCTGACACTGGGAGTACCCATGGCAAGTGCAGAGTGGAACCCCTGAATAGACTTGGTACCTTTTTGTCCCTGCAGATGATGGCCACAGCTCCCAAGGCAGAGATGTTTGCCATAGGCATGAGCTCTACGTCAGCTTCCAGGACCTCGGCTGGCTGGTAATGTCTGCTTCTCCTCTCTGAATGCCACCTGAAGAGCCTGGTGTCTCCGGGGAGGGGATGGAGCTACTGTGCCTTTAACTGTGCATTATAGCCGTGAAAACAGAGGCCACCTGAGCCCTCTGCCCAGTAAACTGTCAACGCTAGAATGGGGAAACTGAGGCTGGGTGGGCGGGGCCTTTGTGCTCTTCCTGCCACAGCTGCTGCAGGAGGCATGGGGGCAGCTGTGGAGGACACAGCAGGGGAGGGCGAGGCCTGGGGTCACACCTGCCTGCTGAGGGGATGAGGGGACGGGTGGGGGGGCGGGCTCACAGCCTCAGGTCACCCTGTGACAGGAGTTGTGCCAATGGTCTTGGAAGGACACACTGATGTAACTCACCTCTTCCCCCCCCCAACAGGACTGGGTCATCGCCCCCCAAGGCTACTCAGCCTATTACTGTGCAGGAGAATGCAATTACCCACTGGGCCACCGAATGAACTCTACCAACCATGCCACCATGCAGGCCCTGGTCAGTATCACAGTGACCTTGGGGCCCAAGGGACTCAACAGGCTTTGGGGTGGAAAGAACAGTGGCAAAGGGAACTTTCTCTGCAATCTTCGCCATGAAGTTTGGTTTCTGGCCCTCAGTAAATGTTGCTCACATGGGTGTTTCTGGACAGACACATGTGCACTGCCCATGCCCGGGTGGGAACCTGTGGACTTGTGTGGGGCCCAGACTAACAGTTAGCCTCTGAAGTCAGACTGAGGCATGCACACACACATGGGTGCCCACTGGGGGCTGTCATGCCCCAAGTGCCCTGTGTATCCTGGTAGCTCTGTCCTCTCTGATATTCTGTGTGCTCAACCATCCTGCCTGATTCAGTGGCTCACGAACCCTCAGCTCTTTGGGGACCTGGCTCCTCCTGGACGTACTCCCCACTTCTCTCCTGGCTGGTCTCTCAGGTTGTAGTACTAATGAGTGGCAGTCTGGGCCACTCAGTGATGGAAGAAGTTGCTAGAAGGAAGGCAATAACAACTGCCATCTATTTGTGCTTGAGGAGCCTGGTGTTAAGACTTCCTTCAAGAATATTTTGTCTAGAATCCTAGCACCCAGTGACCCTGGCTTTGTTTACCCAATAGACAATTGTGCCTAATGATGTGCTACAGCAGTGGTTCTCAACCTGTGGGTCACAACCCTTTTAGGTTAAACATCAGGTATCCTGCACACCAGATATTTACAATTCCTAGCAGTAAAAATTACAGTTACAAAGAGGCAATGAAGTAACTTGTTGGCTGGGGGTCACAACAAGATGAGAAACTGTCTTAAAGGACCATAGCAATAGCAAGGGTAAGAACCACTCTAGAGTGAACATCACAGTTAAGAGCTGCTTTGAGTCATTGTTAAGGTGGCCTTTCACAAAGGGCACTGGTCTTTGCTGGATGCCTGGAGCCACTGTCCTGAGAGATGCTCAGCCTGATGGAGGAATGGGCACCCATTTCAAGCTTAGTGCCACCATCAGACATCCAAGGGGACTCCACGCAGCCTGCTTATCACCTGTAAAGACAGCCTTGCCTCCGAAGTTGAGCTACATCAAGCAGGGGAAAGAGTCTTCGAACTTACCCATTTGTACCAGCAAGGTTTCTAGTTCAGTCTGCAAACAGAGGCTGCCCCTTCCACAGCTGACACCTCCCTGGTGGGAATGTAGTAAAGCAGAGAGCCATTCTGAGCAGTAAGACCCCAGAAGGTGACCCATGGCACTCAGTGCTGGGGACCAGTAAGCTTGAGTATTGGCAGAAGTGGAGGCAACAGTGGCCCAGGGGCTGAGAGCGCCAAAGGGTTGTGTATCCGTCCTCCAAGTCAGCTGCCTGGGCTGCCTTGAGGATAGTGGGCAGGGCAGTGCAGGGAGGGGCCCCTCTAGCTGCGGTGGAACATGACCTTGGACTGGTGGAAGGGGCTAAAATCTTGTAGTGGGTGGGAACTGGGACCATCAGGTTCATGTCCCGATCTGCATCCCCTCCCTACCAGATACACCTGATGAAGCCAGAAGTCATCCCCAAGGTGTGCTGTGTACCCACCGAGCTGAGTGCCATTTCTGTGCTCTACTATGACAGAAGCAACAACGTCATCCTACGCAAGGAGCGCAACATGGTGGTCCAGGCCTGCGGCTGCCACTGAATCCACAGCCTGCTGCCATCACCCTGGTTAGCCCCCTGGCCAGGAAATGAAATGAATAGATCCTATCAGATCCAAGGCCAAGGTGGAAGGTGGGGCTTTCAACTCAGGTCCTTGTTCTGCCCTTTCACATGTTTGGCCCTCTCCTGGCCCCTCTGTTCCCTTCCTCTGCCTGAGGGTGGGAAGATGGTCCTGGTTATAATCCTGGTGACCTACCTGAGTCCCCAAGCAATAGCCCATCTCTGCCCCTCCCCCAGGAGCATCTATTAAACGTCCTTTGGGATGGGCACAGAAGTCTAATTTGCCCACCTATTCATGAGGACTGCTGGCTCAGACTGATTTGAAAACAGAGCTCTAAATGGACCTCGGGCTCTTTTAGTATCCACCAGAGGCCTTAGGTGTGTGCAGACATGACCAACTCCCTCCATTACTCCATAGCCTGTGCCTTGGAGGTTTAAAACGAGATTTCTGGAGAAGAGTTATTAAGAAACATGGGAAAGCCAGGAATAGTGATATACACTTAGTACTCGGGAGACTGGGGCAGGATTACTATGAGTTCAAGGGCAGCCTAAAATATATTTCAAGATCTTTCAAAAAACAAAGACAACAACCAAGCAAAACCCTAGTGTATTTATGGATCTCAGTAACTAAACCTCTGGTCACAGACAGGCATAGGAGACCAACTGATGAAAAATCTGTTGTGGATTTGACATCCGGATTCAGCCACTGCCATTAAAGGAAATGCCAGCAGTTTCTTGGTCCACAGTCCTCATTTCTGCCTTTATGCAGCCATCACAGGCAGGCACACAACTTGGCAATAGCCAGAAAAATAAAACTGTGCTGTCGTGGAGCCGGAGCAAAAGTGTCATGGGCAAGATTACCCCGGAAGAGAAGCCAAGGAGCCTCAAGGAGAGAGGCCCCTTCAGGTGCTCACGGTCCATGCAGCGGCGGGTGGCAGGGCAGGGGTTGCATGGTGAGGATGGGAAGCAGCACAGCTATGCTGCGGGGCATTCTCACCCAGGCCCCAGAGCCGCGCTGGACTCCTGCCTGGCAGAGGACCATGACTTCAGCCCCAGCTATCCTTCCAGAGCTGTCTTCCCTGAAAACCCCAGCACACTGAGGCGTGGTACTCTACTGCTGATAGCCAAGGCACGACAAGCTCCACCCGACTTCCGTTTTGCCAGTTGGATGATCTTTGGCAGAGGTTTGGTTTTTCTGTGCAGGGTTTCTGACAGCTAATCTTAGTTGTCAAGTTGACACCTGGGAAGAGGGACTCTCCAATGAGGAATTGCCTCCATCAGATTGGCACATGGGCACACCTGTGGGACATTTTCTTAATGGAGGAAAGCCCAAGTCAATGTGGGCAGTATCATTCCTGAGCAGGTTCTATAAGAAAACTGTGTTCCTCCATGGTTTCTGTTTCAGTTTCTGCCCTGACTTCCCTCAATGATGAACTATATGATGTAGAAGTATAAGCCAAATAGGGGCTGGAGAGATGTCTCGGTGGTTAAGAGCACTGGCTGCCTTTCCAGAGGACCTGGGTTCAATTCCCAGTATCCACATGGCAGCTCACACTTGCCTGTAACTCAGTTTCAGGGACTCTGAAACCCTTACACCAATGCACATTTAAAAAAAAGAAGAAGAAGAAGAAGTATAAGCCAAACAAGCAAAACCTTTCCTCAAGGGTTCCAATATGTCTCTCTGTCCTCAGCTGCCTCCAAGCCTCAACTCTTCCGGCTATCAGTGAAAAAGGTCACAAAGACAGCAACTCCCCCTCTCTTGGCACTCTTTGCTAAGTTCTTTGCTTGGTTCTAGAACAAGTCCTAAGTACTGTGGTCCTCACTTCAAATGCCTGTCCTAAGACTGGTTTCTGCTCACTGAGGCTGACCTCTGACTGGAGAACACAGCAGGGTCAATCACAGCCTGGGCCAAGTCTAGCTGCTCCCGTGCAGGCACGTTCCAGGAAGATTAGTATTTAGTTCACTGGATCAGGTTAGCGCCCCGAGAGGAACTCCGCACTAAGGCTACCCAAAGACTGGGCGTGTCAGCACTGCTTTTTTCATGGGCCTCTAGTTCGCTGCCTGCTGTGCACACATGACCTGCTACTCCTCATAAACATGAGCCAATTCCCTAGTCAGTGCCTGCGTGTTCACATGCATGTATGCATGTATATCCACCCCCCATAAACCCCAAGAACACACAAATACACGGTCAGGCACCAACTATTTGGCTCCAGTGCTGTAATGAGAAAGTCACAGGCAGTGCTCGCACATCAATAAAACCTCATTCACAGAAACAAGCAGCAGGCTGCCCAAGGCCCAGGTAGTATGCCCACTTCCTGTCTCCTGACAAGAAGCCCAGTATCTGGCAGAGTTGGCTTTTGAGTCATAATATACCATTTTGAACACCTGAGAACGCAACATAATGTTGGACACTGGAGTCACTAAGGCTGGCACCAGGCAAGCAGCATGAGTTCGGGGCACAGGCAACAGAGACAAGCAGCTCTGATTCCTGCTGCCCTGAGAGGATCTGACAAGGACATCTGGCATAAAGATACATTATCTGGCATGGAAGGGAATTGGCCCCAGGAAGGCTACAAACACCACAGAAAGGCACTACACCTTCACAAACCTGCCGTCCCATCCAGGGCACAGTTCAGCCATGGATAACTCCCAGGCTTGATGGAGGCAACAGTACAAAAAAATAGTTTATTTTAGCAAATAAAATGGATCTAGTCAGCTCAGGACATACTGGTAGTGCACTGTCTAGGCCGGCGGCCTGGCAGCCCCGTCCCTGTGTGCAGAGTGAGGACAAGCACAGCGTCACATGTATTCTCCGCAGTCAGCGATGATCACCTTCTGCTTTGGCTTCCCGTCCTTGCTGCCCTGAGCCTTTGTGAGCACAACAGAGAAATCATGAGAAGCACAGGGCTGAGAGCTACACAGGGATTACCCTCTCCCCCAGTAGGGACCTCTTCCAAGTGCCCCCTTCCACAGCCATAGAGAACTCCCTTCAGCTCTCCCACTGGGGTGCCGGCCACCCAAGGTCCCGGTAGGCAGCCATTTCCAACCACTCACCTCAATCTGCCGTAAGACATCCAGGCCTTCAGTGATCTCCCCGAATACCACATGCTTGCCGTCCAGCCAATCTGTCTTATCACAGGTCAGGAAGAACTGGGAGCCATTGGTGTTTGGGCCAGAATTGGCCATGGAGAGAAGGCCTGGGAAAAAACAGACTTCTCAGCTCCCCCATACTGCTCCGAGCCCACGGCATATGCCTGTGCAGACTGTGACAGTGCTTCTGCATACGGGCTCAGGCTCCAGGACATGGACCCTGAGATGTGGCACCCTGTCTTTCCTCACCACAGAAGGACAAATGGGTTGTTTCAATTTTGTTCACGTTCATTTGTCTTTTCATTTTTAACAATGACTTGCTGTTATTGTTGTAACCAGGCCCATTAAATCCTGGAACACTGACAAGCAAAACATTCATTTAAAATGGAATTGTATGGGTCTGAGAGATGGTTCTGCAGACAGAAGCCTGACAGTCTGGATTTCATCCCCAGAACCTATAGTAAAAGGAAGGGCTTCTGAAGGCTGCCCTCTGATCGCTACACACAAACTGTACTACATGTACCAGCACTCAAACACATGCATTACACACAACTCACACAAACGATAAATACATACACACATCTTAAAGAATATTGTGCTATGACAACTAAGATGCAGGGACAGTCACACAGGGGAAGGAAGGAAGCTGGGCCAGGAGAGAAGCTGGAGACAGGTAACATTTATGGGTGATGGGAGATAAATCCTAGATGGACCCTAATTATTCCTCTCTCTCTCTCTCTCTCTCTCTCTCTCTCTCTCTCTCTCTCTCTCTTTGTATTTTTGAGACAGGGTTTCTCGGTAGTTTTGGAGCCTGTCCTGGAACTAGCTCTTGTAGACCAGGTTGGCCTCAAACTCACAAAGAACCATCATCGCCCAGCAATCAATCTCTCTCTGTCTCTGTCTCTCTGTCTCTCTCTCTCTCGGTTTTTTGAGACAGGGTTTCTCGGTAGTTTTGGAGCCTGTCCTGGAACTCTCTGTAGACCAAGCTGGCCTTGAAGTCACAGAGATCCGCCTATCTCTGCCCCCAGTGCTGGATAATGGTGTGCAGTGATAATCACTGCCCAATTAAAGGTATACACCACCATTTCTTTGTGTGTGCATGTGTGTTTTAAATCATGTCTATGGGTATGGGTGTTTGCCTGCATGTTTGTCTATGGCCCACATGTCTGCCTGGTACCAGAGGAGGTCATAAAAGGCTCCCCGAGACTGGAGTTAGACAGTTATGAGCTACCATACAGGTGCTGGGAACCGAACCTGGGTCCTCTGGAAAAACAGCCAGTGCTCTTAACCACTGAGTCATCTCTCTAGTCCCTTAAGAACTAAGTCTATTACATTACAGAAACCCCAAGTTTTAAGGGCTTTCCCCAATAATGAAATCTTCTAGGGAGCTCGATGTGGCAGTACATGACTATAAACCTAGTACCCAGGAGGATCCAGAGTTCAGTGCTAGCTTGAGCTACACACTAAGTAAGACCCTATCTCAAAAAACAAAAATCAAACCAGGTACAGAGGTATATGCCCTTAATCCCAGGACTTGGGCACCTGAAACAGGTGGATCTCTGTGATTTCCAGGCCAACCTGGTCTAGATGGCATATTCCACGTCAGCCAGAGCTACACAGTGTGAGAAACAACCCATGAATTACAACTACAATATAAAACAATGGATCTCATTCATCACTTCACAAAATAAGAGTTGGCACCAGCAATACTGTCTATGGTGTTTGGATTGTCAGTAGACACATCTCTATTTCTAACTGCTGCATTTGAGTGCGGCACACAGTGGAATAACTTTTGTGTCTTCTGGTGTACCTGTACCTATTAGGACATTCTGACTTTTAAAATAATGTAGGCAGGAAGAATTTACTGTCCATGTACTTCCGTCTGGCACAAACTTGCAAGAAGAAAACAAAGGCACAGGGAACAGATTTCTATGGAGAAAGCAACTGATCTGTGAGCCACGTCGTGTTTAGGAATCGAGGAGAGAGGAAGCGCAGGATAAAAAGGCAGCGAAGCAGGCAAAGCAACTAGAAGATGGAGGAGCGACCACCAGAGCAAGGCAAGAAATAGGAGCACAGGGCCAACAGTACGGGATGCTGCTGGGGTGGAACAAGGTGAGGCAGATAACTGACTACAGGCAGGAAAGATGGTTGGCATTTTTAGCAAGAGAAGTCTGAGTGGCCATCTGGGGCTTAAAAGTCTAGATAGAAGAACTTAGAAGAAAAGGGCAGTGAGTCTTACATTTTTCCCCCAAAGTCAAGATAACAGCTGATGAGAGGAACAAGAGTCCAAAGATAATTTTTTTTAAAGATTGAGATTGCATACCTGGACACGGATGAACCAAACTGGCTAAGCAAGGGAAACACATTCTATAGGTCAAAGGGAGTCGCAGAAAATGCCAGTTTCCTAAGTAGAACAGAGGGACAGACTCCCTCATAGAGAGGGGTGGCCTCTATAACAGGAGGGAAGTCAGAGCATGCATCCATGGTAGGCAGGAGGCAAGACCTAAGATCAATATGGAGGTCTCTAGAAGAGAAGCAGGCATGGACTGTGATCTCTGATTGGGACTGAGGGGACACTTTAGCTAGCAGGGAACACCAACTAGTGGACTGAAGCTGGGATGTGAGGAGTACAAGACTGGAGGCCAGCAGCTCACCCCAGCATGCCTTTCTTCAGTGGCTGGCCAACCACAGCCAGTCCTGGCAGTCACAGTCTGCCCTAGCCCCGCCTTCCCTCACCACACCAGAATTTGCACTTACCTGGTCCTGTGTGTTTGAGAATGAAGTTTTCATCATCAAACTTCTTTCCATAGATGGACTTGCCCCCCGTGCCGTTGTGGTTTGTGAAATCACCACCCTGGCACATGAACTGGGGGATGATGCGGTGGAAGCTGCTTCCCTTGAAGCCAAAGCCCTTTTCATGGGTGCACAGGCAACGGAAATTCTCTGATATCGAGAAAGGAAAAGGTGCTGAGGTTGAAGACAACCCAGCTTCCTGACCAGGTGAGGGGGTATGAAATGGGGATGGGGGAACAAGACATGTTTTACTTGTTTAGTTTTGCATAGCTGCTCCTGGGCATCGACATGGAGATGGTTCCCAGGACTCTCCTGGATTCTCTATCTTTTCTACCATCTCTATATTATGTATGATACATAATACAACAGAAACACTCCATAAATGGTTGCTATATCATCTAGGGTGTATAATAGGGGGCAATACAAGCATTCTTCGTAGAGATGCAGGGCTCCCCTCAAATATATTTAAAATTTTTTATTACATTTATATATTGCACATGTGTGTATATGTGTGCATATGTATTTAAGTCTGAAGACAATTTGCAGGGCTTGGTTCTCTCCTATCATGTGGGTCCTGGGCTTGAACTCAGGTTCCAGACTTGGCAGCAGGTTCTTTAACCAGCTGAGCCATCTGACTGGCCCATCACATATTTCTGCTGTGGTTGGTTAAATTCGCAGATGTGGATCTCACGGATGGAGAAGGTTAACTGCATTCTCATTTCTCCTTAGAAGCTATTATGTATGACACTGATCTACTAAACAGCCACATGCCACCCCAATTAAACAGGACAGAATGTGTGCATTCTATCTCTGCTATACCCCCAAACCACACTAAAGTGATAATGAAGTGATTTTTTATATTACAATTTATTTGTATTTTATGTACATTTGTGTTTTGTCTACAAGTATGCCTGTGTGAGGGTGTTAGATCCCCTGGGACAGGAGTTACAGACAGTTGTGTGCTGCCATGTGGGTGCTGGGAATTGAACTCAGGTCCTCTGGAAGAGCAGCCAATGCTCTTAACCACTGAGCCATCTCTCTAGTCTGATTTTTTTTTAAATTATTTATTTATTTATTTATTATGTATGCAATATTCTTTCTGCGTGTGTGCCTGCAGGCCAGAAGAGGGCACCAGACCTCATCACAGATGGTTGTGAGCCACCATGTGGTTGCCGGGAATTGAACTCAGGACCTTTGGTAGAGCAGGCAATGCTCTTAACCACTGAGCCATCTCTCCAGCCCCCCAGTCTGATTTTTTTTTTAAAAAAAATTTATTTATTTTATGTATATGGTGCTCTATCTGCATATAGACCTACATGGTAGAAGAGGGCACCAGACCTCATTATAGATGGTCGCAAACCACCATGTGGTTGCTGGGAATTAAATTTAGGATCTCTGGAAGAGCTATCAATTCTCTCTAACTGTTGAGTCACCTCTCCAGCACCTCAAAATGATTTTTTTTGTTTTTAAAAAGAAAAGGATGGGGCCGGGCAGTGGTGGCGCACGCCTTTAACCCCAGCACTCAGGAGGTAGAGGCAGGCAGATCTTTGTGAATTTGAGGCCAGCCTGGTCTACAAGAGCTAGTTCCACGACAGGCTCCAAAGCTACAGAGAAACCCTGTCTCGAAAAAACAAACCAAATAAACAAAGTAAAATAAAAGGATGGGGAGAAAAAATAAAAATAATCCAGGGACAGTAAAACAGTTCAGCAAGTAAAGGCAGACACTTACTGTGCAAGCCTGGAGACCCAAGTATGAACCACAGAATCCATGTGAAGACGGAGGGACAGAATTGACCATTAAGTGGTACTTTCCTCCGAGATAAAGCTTTCCATGTTTGAGAAAAGCTTAAGACTCAGGATGTTCCAAAGGCAGTGAAACAGTCTAGCCTACTAGCTCCTTGTCAACTCAGGAAGTAAATAACTCAATAGCATCAAGAAGTCCCCAAACTGACCGGATTCAATAGGATCCTTTCTTCTCTAAGCAGAAAGGACCACTGGGAGACACTGTCAGACGAATGGAGCGCCCTATAGTCATCTCAAACCAATAGAGTCACCTGGGAAAAACCACTCTCTAACTTGTCAAACTGCCTGAAGCTGTGCAGACAGCCCCAGGTTCCCAGCTCTCAGAGTCATTATGGGCCTTTGGGTCAGTTTCTGCTCCTCTAACTACCTACCAACTCTTACTCCCATAAGTAACCACAATAAAGTCGTGGGCTGAGCTCGATGAACTTTACAGTATTTTCCCTTTGTTGTGTCCATCAGTTCCCTCCCTGGAGTCAGTAGACATCTGTTCATGGCTTTCCTGGAACTTTAACTGCCACATGTGTCATGCACATGCTATACACACATATACAACACAGGGTCTCACTATGTAGCTCTGGCTATTTTGGAACTCTATGTAGATCAGGCTAGCCTGCCCCTGCCTCCCAAATGCTGGGAATAAAGTGATGTGCCATCACAACTGACCATAATATTCTTTTTAAAAAATCATATTCATGTAATGTGCCTGTATGGTATCATGTCCATGTCAAAGTCGGTCCCAGAAGAGACATCAGATTCCTTGGAGCTAAAGTTACAGGTACCTATGAGCTGTCTGACCAAAATTACAGCAACTACCCAGATAGATAAGGAGGTGTAAAGGAGGAAAATGCTAATTCCTTTTCAGAAGCAGTTAATCAAAAGATAATGCCCAAACTGAAAACACATATATAATATAAAAATATATACAATATGTATATTTATCATATATAATATATGTAAGTTATATATAGTGAATATATAGCTATTATCTTCTAACATGGAAGTTAAAACCAAAATAATTAGCTAAGAAATGAAACTGGCTGCCTCTGAGGAACAGCAATGGTGCTGGTGACAGGGTAGCGAATGGGGTTTGTTGGTCCCTATTATTACAGAGGGACTAGTGATTTTTCAAACTAACTTTTGTGATAACAACTCCTTAAATTATATGTGTAAAAGTAAAATTTACATTAAAAAATAAGTCAATATTTTAATAAACTAGAAATTAGTACTAGTTACTTCTAGAGTATAGAGCTGAATGTAATATTGTTAGAATATATATATGTGTGTGAGACTTTCTTTTAAACAATGAATACATTATTCATAATGTATTCATAATAATATATTACTCGTGCTATAAGCCTCTCTTTATTAAAAGACAGTAAACTAGCACTTATGAAGCTTCAATATCTGCTCTGATCTGTTACTAGATCCTGGGATCTTAGATATCATGAAACAACGGCAAGGGTATAAGAGCTGAGGCAGTGAGGACCTTGGGAAGAATGCTCAGCCACCAGCTTCCTGCCAATCTGACCATAGGGGTCTGCTTACCTGCTGTCATGGGAACAACATCAGAACGTAACAGCATTTGGATTCGGCCAGCTGGCTTGTTTCCAATCTTGATGTCCATGTAAACCTGAGGATTTGACCGCGCTTTTTTTGTAGTGGGTTCTCCCTGGGTGCAGGAAAAAAATATTAGTCAGAAATGCTAGTGGCTGGCAGTGGTGGCACACGCCTTTAATCCTAGCACCTGGGAGGCAGAGTTAGGTGGATCTCTGTAAGTTCGAGGTTAGCCTGCTCTACAGAGTGAGTTCCAGGATAGCCAAGGCTGTTACATGGAGAAACCTTGTCTCAGAAAAAAGAAAGGAAGGAAGGAAGGAAGGAAGAGCGGGCAAAAAAGAAAGAAAAAGAAAAGAAATGCTAGTGCCAGTGTTCCCTAAGTAGATGCACGAGTAATCTCTGGAACACAGCACCACAACTGCAGTGCACACCCCGAACACAGCACAACTGCAGTGCACACCCCGAACACAGCACCACAACTG